TTTTTTCAAGTAACTTGACCAACACTGGTTGTTACTTGCACAAGTAAGAGCGTTTACCATCAACAGATGGTGAATCTGCTCAGATGAACATTTTACAGGTGTAGAAGCCTGACTAAGGAGAAGAAGAGCGAGGAAGGATTTATGGCAGTGTAGCAAGGAGATTACAACAGCAGGGAGATGCAGAGGGTGGATGCAGTGTTGATGGTGGGTTTTCTCCTGTTACAGTGCAACGGGAGCATTAGGTGAGGTTGATAAGAATGCATGACCAAAAGACACAGCAGCATGTGCAGTGATTCCTGTACTGCGCACAGTAGGGCTATTTTTTATTTTGCATGTGTTTTACTTTTCTATGCTGTTCTGTATTTAGTCTAACAGCGTTTTACTCTATGGTGGGATCACTGCAGGAACAAAAATCCCCTCATTCTTGTCTGCAAGTAGAACATAAAACCTTGCTATCTTGAACTCAGCATCTGAAGTATTCAGCTCATCCAAGTATCCACTTTCATACACAATCGTGGTCAGAAAACCTATAGTTTTATACTCGAGGCATTCACTGTCAGTGAAACCAGGTAGGACAGAGAGTCTTTTGCTTTTTAACACTACATCATTTTTGATTTGGGTTCCTTATTGCTTGTTTACAAATGTGTTGTAGCGTGGCATTACATCTGCTATGGCCCTGCCTCTGAAATAGAGAAGTTTATATTGAGCAAACAAAGAGAGCATTCACATAATAAATTTCAGAGCATAAAACAGCTATCCGCTCAAGAAACATGGAGCCAAACACTGTCATGAGGCCAAAAATGGCTCCACTGTTACTCTGCTGGACTCAAATATGTGACTCTCCCAGCCAGAGGGGCCAGTCTATCAAAGTTGTTGTCTCAGAGACTGAGATGTATTGGACTCAGCACTGTAATGTCTTTTGGAGTGAATGATGATTATAGTTCAAAATGCTTTCCCCTGAGCAAGTTTACATAAAATATAGAAACATTAGATGTTCACTACAAACCCGTAACCTCAGCCAGAATCATCCCGCTTTGCTTTTAATCATTACTCTTTTGTGAATCTTTTAGCCAAACTGCTGTATTTGAACAACATGACGTCCGTTTTGGCTCCGATGAAAGCCACAGAGATGGCACGTTAGCAAGTTTGTTGGCTTGTCCAGAATAAATTGTGGACTTTTTCCTGATATTTGCAAAA